AGAGATCCAGTTTCTGCTAAGAGGTCACTGTCATTTCTAGACGCAGAAGCCCATCCGGAGGAACCTTATAGGGATGATAGTAATCACCTGGGAATATCAAAGCCTCAATCAGAAGAAAGAGATCACAATGGCTTTAATAGTGAGAAAGAGAACAATCCAGCTGCTATCCCTCAGATTTCTGTAAAGAGGAATGCTAGCTACACTCGCCTTTCTCCAGCACTCTCCAACACTCTCTCATGTAAAATGTCCACGTAACAAAATTTGGCTCGCAATTCAAAGTTTCCAACAGAAAAGTTCACGTGGCTACTTTAGATGAGGGAGTGTTGGAGAGTGCTGGAGAAAGGCGAGTGCAGCTAGCATTCCTCTTTCTGTAAATAAATCAAATCTTGAACAAGAATCCAAAGATGCAGAATCTGAAGAGATTGAACTCAAGGCCAATGGCCATCTGGTTTTTACAGAGCTTGATTTTGAAGATAAGAAAAATGATGGATTTAAAGGTGAACATGAGAAGTCTCAATTATCACTCAAAGAACATGATTGTAGCAATATGGCATTGGAACCATGCGCTGATGGAAAATATGATTTCCAGAGTGATGAGGTAACAGGGATGACTGTGAAAGGTCTTGATACCATACAGACTATAAACAATACATTTCCATTGGAAGAAAAGAAAAGGAAGTGAAGGAAGTACTTCATTCATATAACGAAACATGGTGAAAGCAATATTAGATCAGATAGTCATTCAAAGCTTAAGAAGAGACCTGTTGCTGCTGAGCCTACTGCCGACCGTATTTTCTGGAAGGTTAAAGTAAAGGCGTAAAGAAGTCAAAGACCATAATGTGCAGGCTTTAAACATCATGTTGTCAGAAAATGATTTGGAAAAAGAGGAATTGGTTCATGGAGATAACCAACATGGTGAAAGAAGTATTGGAACTGAGAATAGTTTAAAGCTTAAGAGAGACTTGCTCCGGTTGCTGAACCTTGTGTAGGCAGTATTGGTGGAAGGTTAAGGCAAAGGCGTTGGGAAGGTGAAGACCATAATGAGCAGTTGTCAGAAAATGAATCAGAAAAGGAGAAGCAAATGCTTCATGGAGATAGTCAACATGATGAAAGCAATATTGGAACTGAGAGTAGTTCAAAGCTGAAGAAGAGACTTGCTCTGGTTACTGTATCTAATGCAGACGGTATTGCTGGAAGAAGGTTAAGGCGCAGATGGACAGAAGGCACAAACAATGACACGAAGGTGTTGTCAGGGATGAACAAGAATACATCAGATGATAAGGCTATTAACAATACCTCATCAGGAAAGGAAGCAGGGGGGAAGTCTGAAGCACATGAGTTCTGGAACTAACCTGGACAGTATTGCTAGAAGATTAAGGGCTCGAAACAGAACCATGTGAAGAAGCTGTTTCCCATCTGTCTTTTTAACAATGATGATCAGCTTCATATTCAATTTGCTAATACAGGGTCTGAACCCAGGATGACAACAACATGAAGAATCAGTTATTTGGGTTTTCTGTGAACCTTCAATTCAGTCTCCCTCAGTCTGCTGCAGCAAAAAACTTAGTTTGTGAGTACTTTGTACATTGAAATGCAACATGGAATGCTTTGGCTTCTTTCTGTTTTCAGTTCATGTTGCATTGTTCAATTCAGCTGCAGTCATTTATCGGCTATGACATTTGAGATTATTGTTATGGTTATGTAGCAGGGAAATCATAACATTTTGCTTATCCTCATGTCTAGAGTGGTGGCCAAGAAAAATGTCTAGACTCTGATTTATGATTTTAAAATTGCTCTGGGTATTATGTGGCCGAGACCTTTAAAATTTTGCTGTGCTATGTTAATCAAGCACTTTAAATAAAGCATCAAGTGCCGATTAAAAAAAAAAAAAAGCATCGTCTAGCAGCCCACACCAGATTCACTAACCATGGAACATCTATGGACCAAAACCAAGATCGGTTGCCCTCCATACTAAAACAGGCTCATGCATGTTTTTTTTCTAATTTCAAGACATTGTGTCACCAATGGATTCCATTACAACGAAAAGGGAAGAAAAAGCAATGTGAATCAAGAAGCCCCATGAATTGAAGAAGCCATGATTACATAAAAAAATAATAATAACAAAGTAGTGATGATCTCCTCGTTACTATTACCAAATTGAAGCTCATACTCCCAACTTTAACAGAGCTTTTCTCAACAAACAATCATAGCATGCATGGACATGGACGAAGTGACAGAAAGTAAGCACTAAGCAACGGATCCCCATGTTTTTTTTATGCTTCTCTTCTCAGCCTAGTGATTTGAGCAATAGCAAAATTATTATGTTCTTTAATGATCAATGATCATGCTTTGTTTGTCATGGTTTTGACCAAGGGCATTTCTGTAATTCCAACAAGTGGTTGAGTTATCAGGATCATAGGCTGGCTTTAAGCAATAATACAAGTTTGGTTATGCACGTGCTATCCACGTAATGCTCGTGCACTTTGTTTGGCCGATGAGAAAATTTTCATTAAAAAGAAGATTAATTTTCCTTGAAGAAAACCACAGTTTGTATAAGCTATCAGTCAATCTCTTCATGGGGTTGACTTGAATTTGTTTTTGATTTGTCTTGTTCTGAACCTGAAACCATCTTCTAGTAAAAGCATGTGTGTTGTCCTGCAATACCATAGCTGTTCAATGTTCAAACTTGGATTCTAAAGTTTTTTCAATTTTTGCTTCTCCTTCCTATTTTATAGTAAGTCATCTTTGAAAAGGATTGAAAGAGATCCTTTTTTTCTCACCAAATCTATCATCTTCCTTCTTCAAATGGTAACTATAATATTCTCTAATTGGCCTTTTTCTTTTGAGTCAGGTTTGAGGTTCTTTGCATTGCTCCACCTATTAAGGGGAGGGAATCCGAAGGGTTTTGTTTTTTGTATTATTTTTCTGGGTTCATAATATTTTGATTCTTGCCCTACCAATATCAAAACTCAAAAATCCATAAATATGTTTACAGAATTAGAGCACCAAAGTGCAAGAGAAGTAAAGTAAAAGGCCTTTTTATAGTGGGTGTTTAGCTTTTCCTATGACAGCAGTTATAAGTAGCAACAGAGCTTTGTTTATCCACACTTTAAAAATCTT